ACACATAGGTTTTATTTCTATATAGAGTAGGGGAGTACTTAAAGATCTGAAATATTTTTGTGGCACAGAAAGATTTACTTGTCTACTGCCTGTAGAAGAAAAACAACATGACGATTACAATGAGGTAAATGAGAAAGCTGGACAAAAAAGAAGCTTAAATCAGCTAGTCAGGTAGCCCACTACAATTAGGGTTGGGTGGCAAACATTGTTATCAATTTATAAAAGCACACATTTTCCTTATTAATGTAAATTATTAGTGGTGAATTATCACTGATTATAATGCCAACACTAGGACTAATATTTAAAAGGAATCATGGGAACAGGATCTCATTGCACTTGGCATTGGCTGTGTGCACACAGGTGTAAAGTTTGCCCAGAACTATTTACAGTTCAAGTATACGAGAGCAGACAAACTTTCTGCTCCAACAGAAAGGTTCAAGGAGGTGATCCTGACAGAACCGTAAACTATGTCAGCATGTCAGGAGCTCAGCAGCCCAGATCAAGACAGGCATTTGGAATTGGTGGGATGAAACTTCTTAAAAACATTTTTGATCTGGACCACAGACACCTACCTCTTCCATAAATACTCTAAATCCCACTCATTTCAACTGGATCCCAGGAGAGCAGTTGGAAACTCAGTGGAGAGAGATGTGCATCTCCACGCTGTGATTTCAACCCTTCTGTGTTACAGGGTAGAAAGAATTGCCCTTTTCTACCAACCCCTCTGCATTGCCTATACATGGACTCAAAGAAATTGCAGACAAAAGATGTGTGCAGTCACTGAAAATTTATCTAGCAGGAAACCTGAGTAAAACACTGACCTGTTCTCTTACCCCAAGACTGTATTATTTAGATGTATCATTGGGACTGGGAAGATGAGTCCAGCCACAAGCTGCTGCCTTGGTCTATGTTGGTGACAGCCTGTGAAGCTGTGATCCTCTAAATGGTGTCATTTAACCAGAACTCCACTTCTTTATAGAGGGGGCAGGAGGGCATAAATGTAAGTAAGCTAGGCTCCAGAAAAAACAATGGCTGTGTTTCTTAGACACTGAAAACCAGTACTCCTTCCTAGAGGTGAAGTTCTGATTTGCACTAGCTGAAGGCATGTCTCACTGTCTACCACACCTGTCCCTGTCTGTGCCAGCTCTTCCTCTGCAGTATTTTTCATGCACATGTGGCCTATGGAAAGAGGGAGCAGAAGGGGTGAATTCAGGGAACACGGTGTGTTGCTGATAGTGTTATAAAAAAGTTTTATTCTAAATGGATGAAGGATATTGGAAGTCTCTTTCTTCATGGAGCACAGTCTGAAGCACCTTTAAAAGAGGTATGAATTTAAAAGCCTTAACCATTTTAAATGCAATGTCCCTTAAAGTGATTCAGGTTAATCACACCAGTGTTACTGTATTAGAGTGATCAAACTTTTTTGTAAAGAAAGACTTCTTTCAGTCCTGCTTTTTCAAGGAATAAATCAAGAAAAAAAAATAATTCTCTAACTCTTTTCATGGAGGTATAAGTAGATCAGCTCCCAGAAGCAAAGTCAGTAGAAGCTTAAATGAAGTTTCCTTAACTCTGGTTCTCCAGTGTTTTAATTATGAAGAAAAAAGGGTTTCAATGGTATACAGGCAAGTTAAATTCCCTGGAGGGTTCTAAACAAACACAACATTGCAAAATGTAATTAACCATTTTGCCATTAGCCAGTTGTTGTGAAGTTTCTGAAGTCAGGCAATGAATTTATCCTGAGATTACTTACATTGCCTTTCCCTTTAACAAGAAAACAAAAAAAAAAATTAACATCATACTGAAAAATCTCATTCGCCCTTTTTACTGCCTGTACTGTCACTTAACTAAGTCAGCTGAAACCTGCGTTGTTCCCTAGCAGACACAGACGTCAAAGATCAGCATAACCTCATTGGTAGTGGAGATTTCTTTTGCTTGACCTCAGTATGGGAAGAGTAGTTTGAATGCTGCTGGATTAGGCCCAGGTTATTAACCAAGCCAAGGTACCTGTTCTGTGTGGAATAAGCTTTAAAATCCTTCCTACGTTTGGTCATTTGGAGGAAATTTTCTTCAACGTGTGGAAATTTCACTGATATGCAGGCAGGTGCATGTATGTGACCTTGAGATATAAGCAATTAATGCAGCACTCAGCAAGGTGAAATCCTCTGAAAAGGGCTGCATCCTCCTCACCTCACCTGGGCTGTCGGATCCAGCATGATGTGTTCACTTCTAATATAAAGATCTGTCCTAAGGGGTTATTTTTTCCCCCTCTAAACAAATGTGACAGCACAGTTTGTGCTCACTGCTCTGTATTCATGTTATGTCCAATTAGATCTTCCCCTGAGCTCTATATAGCATCTTAAAGCATAGTAATTATTGGTATATGCTCAAATTTGGTTTGTTTCTTATTTTGGGATATTTTTGAGTCAAAGTGTATGAGCCAAAATGCAGAATTATGTTTCAGACATGATGTTGAATACAAATGGGCCATTGTAAGGACATGTAGGAGTGTCGGAGAGCGCAGCAAAACCTGGGACAGTTTTGCGAGATTGTTTCTGGGGAAAAGAGTCAAAGCTTGTGTGGTGTCAACCTTACTGCCAGCACAAAGCTGAAAATGGAATGAACTTTCCTCAGAACTGCACCAGGCTTCCTCCAGAGCATCTCACTTGAGAAGGGACTTGGAACATGAAGCATGGATACTCCCAGGGAAGAGGGCTTGGAAGGAAATCACACAGGTCATTCACTTGGCAAATTGTAGATATTGCCTAAGATGACAGTCATTAGAACACCTCAAGGTGGTGAGGTAAACCTAATATTTGCTGTCCTGTACACTAGAAAAGGAACAGCTCATCTCCTAGACCAGGTGTAGAGATATCTGAGTTCCAGCCTCCTTACTCCTTCTCTGACAATAGATGTTACTTCCTTTCTTCAAATTATATCAGCAGCTGTGGTGATTCATCTGACCTGTCTTGGACAACTGCCACGAGGTATATTCTCTTTGCAGATAACTATCTTCTCCCACTGACTGCAGATAGGGTCTGGACAATGTGGGTAGACTCGGTCAACTAGATTTTAGGCAGCTATGTTTAAGTGAGATGAATCCTGTCTCTCTGCATTCAGATGTGCTACCTAGCAGATCTCATTGCCAGAAAAAAAATCTGTGAACAACCTTTCTCTCTTGCTTGCCTGTGCACTTGCTCGTTTGCTCACCCTCTGCACTCCTAATTGAGGGGCTAAGGGCTTAAGGTTATGTGGCATGCAGCCACCTGTTGCTTTAAACCAGCCAATCACATGTTCAATTCTGACAGTTTTACTAAGCAATACAGCTACCTGTTGCACCTCTGCAAACTTTGACAAGACCTCGGGTGGGATTGTTTAGTCTGAGGATGAAGCAATACTTACCAAGCCTGATTTCACGCTATTCTGGGGTAAACAACCAAAAGATATTTAAAACATCGTTCTGTGAAAATAATTGTTTCTTTGTGTTCAGTGAGAAAGCAGCCTAGGCAGCTAGCTAGTACATTCCAAATATCGAAATATTAGCAAGCAAATTGCATCATTAAAGATGGGGGTAAAACCCCAAGTGCCAGCGTGTTTATATTGAGCATGGAGACTGAAGAAAGAGTTCTGATTTTCCAGTAAGAACAAGTAACACTGAGTACAAATACCTTGCAGCTTCCACAATATTTATAAAGTCCCTGAAGGTAAACTATTTTTGATTTTAGTCTCTAATGTATTTCATGAAAGTGAAGTGGTATCTGCAACACAATCAATTGTGTCAGCAATCAGCCGGAAATTTGAGCCTCCTAAATATTCTGCAAAGAATAACAAATGTCTTTAGAATACAAATGACTCTGTTGTATCTGAAGGATCCATATGTCATGTCATCTTTGCTGATTTGGAAGCTAGCTTTCCCAAGAGGTTTCCCATCACAGCTCTTCATCATCCATATCACAGGCAAGGAACCAGTCCAGTTTCAGAGAAGCAGAAACTCCACATTTGCTATGTATGCCTTCCTGCCGGTATAAATGCAAGGCTCAAAACAGAACTCTGACCCTTCTGAGGTGGTCTTGGTGTGATTAAAAAGGGAGCTACATTGCCAGAAGGGGAATAAACTGAGTAGGTCTGCAGTTGCATAGAGACACATCAGAATGAATTAATAAATAAGAAAGAGGAAGGAAAGGAAGGAAAGGAAAGAAGGAAGGAGGGAAGGAAAGAAGGAGGGAAGGATGGAGGGAAGGAAGGAAGGACATCTCTATGAAAATTCCAGTTGAATCCATTCCATAGACAGAATATTTGCTGGAACATGGACAACTGAGACAGTGTGGTTTATTTTAGGGCGAGCATTATCATGATCTGGTCTTTGCTTGACTGTTTACAAGTGCCCAGAACGGGATTCAGCTGACTAAACACAGATGTGTAATGCCATCTGAGATCTCGTGGCAATACATGCCAACAGCCTCCAGCTGCAACTCCAGATGAGCACAATACAAAGTTTTTCCACAGATTCTGTGTCACATTTGTCTGCTCTGTGGCCATAGATGGATTATGCATTGACATCTAAAATGGCACTGGGCACATACATTTAGTCAAATTATGCTCACCTGTTCTGACTATAATGAAAGATTTGAAGCATAGCTTACATGAAGATACCTAGAGAGCAGATATGCACATTTAGGTGTAGAAATTCTGAATTGAATCCTCCTGGTTAGAGTCAGATGGGATGAATCTTGTGGCTGACTGTTTTCAGGTACATATTGGAAGACTTTCTGCAAAGAGGATTTCCACAGGTGCAAAATGTTATGCACGAAAAGGAGCTGGAGAAATTGGCCTATCATATTTGACAAATAACAACAGTAGTCTCGTCTGAATAAAAATGTCAGTAATTACTAGTTCAACTAATGTTTTCTGTTTTGGTTGCATGCTACAGGGTACCAATTGATCAGGAGAATTCTACCACCACTGTGAAAACATTTTTCCTTGTTGGTTTTACCGGAAGTGCCATGCTGCAGTATATTCTCTTTCCAACTTTCCTCATAGTCTATGCAATGACTTGGCTTGGAAACGTCCTCATCATCACCACAGTAATCATAGATCAACAGCTCCAAAAGCCTATGTACATTTTGTTGGGAAATTTAGCCTTCATAGACCTCAAGTGAATCCTCAGTGACTTTGCTCAAAATGCTATGGGACCTCCTGTCTGAGGTTAAGACCATTAGTTTTTGGGGATGCATTACACAGATGTTTTTCTTCCATTTCACAGGAGGTGCTGTGGCCATCCTCCTCATAGTGATGGCTCTAGATCAGTATGTGGCTCTCCATAAACCTTTGCAGTACCTAAACATTATGAATCACAACACTCTCCTCGGGCTGATAGCAGGAGCATGGGTAGGGGGGTTTGTTCATTCTATTGTGCAGGTAGCACTGGTCACTCAGTTGCCGTTCTGTGGACCAAATTTTCTAGACAACTTCTACTGTGATGTCCCACAGGTAATCAAACTGGCTTGTACAGATATCTATGTGGTTGAGCTACTCATGGTGTCCAGTAGCGGACTGCTTACAATCCTCATCTGATAGTGTTGTATGCTGCCATCCTGATCAAAATTAGGAATCATATCACAAAGCACAAAGCCTTTTCTACTTGTGGAGCTCAGGTTGCAGTTGTGAGCATCCATTTTGTACCCTGCATCTTCATCTATGTGCATCCATTCCGAAAGGTTGTGGTGGACAAAGCCATGTCGTCTCTTTATACACTCATCACTCCAATGCTTAATCCCATGATCTACACACTGAGGAACATGGAGATGAAGAATGCCATCAATAGATTACTCAACAACATCTTTTTCAGGATGAGAAATTCATGGCTGTCCTTTCCTTAGATGGTTGTTTTCTTTTACAGAGAAATGTAAAATCAAAGTAGATACTATCAACTTAATAATTGACTTGCTTTTGACAAAGAAGGAAATTTCAATAAAAATAATGAGCGTATGACTAAAATGACAATGACCTCTCAAGGTAATAACTGCTTGGGAACCAAAGTGATTGCTGACTGATAAAACAATAAATATGCATTATAAAGGAAATCAACAGCAATAGCTTCTTTTGTCTATTGCAGTAGCTCACACTGCTAAGGGCTCAGTTAATTTCTAGGTTTCTGATTTCTAATATATTCTAGGAAATTTATGTATGGATGTTTCTGGTTTTCATATTTTCAGGTGGAATATTCATGATTGGGAGAAAAAATGCAGAACATACAACTTCACAATGTACATGTATATATTTTTGATTATTTCTTGAATAACGTAAGTACATATTCAATTTAAAATTTTCCCTACTCTCTTATAAGCAATATTCTTTGTTCAGATAAATGCATTGCAATGAAATATCATTATGACAATAAAAACAGTATTCCGGGAAATCAAGCAACAGTGACTAGAGGACAAGTCCATTGCATAAGAATAGAAATCTTACTCAGTTGATTTCACAGAATCCCAGAATGGCAAGGGTTGGAAAGGACCTTGGGAGATCACCCAGTCCAACCCTCCTGCTCAAGCAGGCTCACCCGGAGCAGGTTGCACAGGACATCGTCCAGGCGGGTTTTGAATATCTCCAGAGAAGGAGACTCCACAGGCCCCCTGGGCAGCCTGTTCCAGTGCTCTGTCACCCTCCAAGTAAAGCAGTTCTTCCTCTTATTCAACTGGAACCTCTTCTGCTTCAGTTTGTGCCCATTGCCCCTTGTCCTGTCACTGGGCACCACCAAGAAGAGTCTGGCTCCATCCTCATGACATCCACCCTTAAGATATTTGTATGTGTTGATGAGGTCCCCTCTCAGTCTTCTCTTCTTCAGGCTGAACAAGCCCAGCTCTCACAGCCTTTTCTCATAGGGGAGATGCTCCAGTCCCCGCCTCATCTTTGTTGCCCTCCTCTAGACTCTCTCTAGGATTTCCTCATCTTTCTTGAACTGGGGAGCCCAGAACTGGACACAGTACTCCAGGTGGGGTCTCACCAGGGCAGAGTAGAGGGGGAGGAGAACCTCCCTTGCCCTGTTGGCTGTGCTCCTCTTGATGCACCCCAGGATACCATTGGCCTTCTTGGCAGCAAGGGCACCCTGCTGACTCATGGTCAGCTTGTCATCCACCAGGACTCCCACGTCCCTCTGGGCAGAGCTGCTTTCCAGCAAGTCAGCCCCAGTTATTTAATTTCTTTTGAATTTCTTCTTTTTGTTGATGCTAACATAGCCCAAGGTAGGTGAGACAAAGGTTCATCACTGACTTCCTCAGAATTTAGCATTCCTCATTGAGGCTGGACAGCCTATTCTTGCTATTTAGTCACATCAGTCATATTTGTAAGTTAATGGGGTAGATATGCAGTGGGAAATCAGCCAGAAAACACATTTTTACTTTGTTTTATTTTTACTGAGAGAAAGGATTGTCCAGAAGGCACTGCTTCCTTCCTTCCTTCTTCCCTTCCTCCCTTCCTTCTTTTCACTCTTTCTCTCTCTTTCTTTTCCTCCCTTCCTTCCTTCCTTCCTTCCTTCCTTCCTTCCTTCCTTCCTTCTTTCCTTCCTTTCTTTCCCTCTTCCTCTCTTTCTCTCCATTGTTCTTTCTCCCTCTCTCTTTCATTCATCTCCCTCGTTCTCTCTCCCTCTCTTTCTTTCTCCTTTCCTTTATCTCTTTATCTCATTCTCTCTTTTTCTCTCTCTTTCCTTCCCCCCTCCTTTTTCTTTCTTTCTTCTAGCATTTCCACTGAAATTCAATTTACTAATAAAACATAAAAATATAATTATTGTTTCAAAACACAAAATTCTACTTAGGAGTTAAGAATGCAGCTGGGTGTGGTTGGGATGGAGTCAGATTTCTTCATAGCAGCCCCTACGGTGCTGTGTTTTAGACTGGTGGCCAACAGAGCATTGATAATGCATCTATGTTACAGTTATTGCTGAACAGTTCTTACACAGTGTCAAGGCTTTTTCTGCTTCTCATGCTGCCCCATTGCCCAAAAAGGAAGCTTGGGGTGGGCAGGAGGTGGCGAAGAGACACAGCCAGGACAGCTGACCCAAATTCTCAAAGGGGAGAGCTCTGAAAGTGGCTGGTCATTGGTCTGTTGGCGGTGAGAGACAGCTTTTGCATCACTTGTGCTTTTCTTTCTTTTCTTCACTTATTAAACTGTGCCTTTCTCAGCTCAAGAGTTTCTCCTCATTTTTGTCCTCCCAAAACACAGCACCATGCAAGCTGTGATGAAAAAAATTAAGTCCATCCCAATCAGACCCAGTGCAAGGTGGAGGACAGCAGGAGACATCACTTAACTTTGTGTGGGTTTCAGCTCTGGATTCAAACATTTAGGATGGGATCCAACTGCCTATGCCTTAATCATCTCTCAGGTATCGTTGGAACATCAAAGTAGTCCAGTTGGCCCTGGCTGATGTGGCAAAAAGCCTGTGGGAGTCCTCTTGTTCAAAACAGACTGACAGCTCGAGGACAGACAGAGCACTCAACAGTGTCTGAAATGTCAATATGAGCAAGATGTTGTCTAGCATGACTTAACATGTCATTTTAGGCATTATAAAGTATCTTTCCTAATCTTTAGTGGACTCTACAGGTAGAAGTGAGTATTTAGTAGACTTTGTATCGGATCTGCCAATGTTGTGTGGATTTCTTGGATACCTTGGATACATTGGCATCTCTGAAATGAAACTGAGATATCTATGTTTGCACAACTGAATGCTCCTTAAGGTCTATGCTTAAAGGTAGATATTTATACATGAAGTACATGTCTAAACTGCCATTTAATCAAACTGTATCAGTTAATAAAGGTCTACTAAGATTGTCACAGTTCTAGGTCACATGACCTCTGAGGGGAGGTTGAAGGACTTGGGTTTGTTTAAACCAATTAAGAAAAGATTAAGCGAGATCTAACAGCAGCCTTCAACTTCTTGAAGATGTGTTATGAAGATGATGGAAGCAGATGACTCTTGCTAGTGGTAGACAATATAATGGGGACAATGAGCATGGGCTGTGGCTTGGAAGCTTTAGCCTGGACATTAGGAAAAAATTTTTCAGTAGCAGAGTTGTACAGCACTGGAAAAGATTGCCAAGGACATCCATCCCTGGAGTTTCCAAGATTCATATAAATGGTCCCTGGCTGACCTATGTCAATGACCAATCTTCCTCCAAGGGGGACATTTGCATGAGGCCTACAGAGATACTGTCTCACCAACATCTATGTGCTTCTATGATTCGATGGTCTGTGGAGTCTGCAGGCTGAATTTCAAAACTACTGTAGCAGTCTGTGCCTGGACTAGCCTTTCTGCATCTCTTTTCTGAGTCAGGGCAGCCAAACAGTCACTTTTTGGAAAGGATTTTCCCAGGCATTTCAAATGCTTACCTTAGGATGCTTACCCTAGAAATGCTTATGCCATTGCGTTGATTTTAAAGGGAGTCTCTGTGTCATCTACAATTTGGACCTGCAAAGTTAAACTGAATACCAAACCACAGGTCCTCAGTGATTCAGTGTTGATTCCTGACTTAATGCAATGATATATTTGTGAACACTCTTCTTTTTAAATAACACTGTAGTATTTTATCTTCTTTAATGAACTAGATTTCCACTGCCAAAATGTTGCCTCTTGCAGAGCTCATTGTTCATACATATTTTTGAACATTCTTTTCTAATACAAAAGAGATACAACTATAATTTTACAAAAAAAAAATTGGGAAATCTAATACAGTGATCACACTGAGTGGCACTCATTGCTTGGATTCATTTGCCAGCTCATAAGCCTTCAGTCTAGTCTTCAACTGCTAGCTCAGCAGGATGCAGATCTCCTTTAAGTGTTGCCTCACACCTGGACATCTCAGAGACTCTGGAGTACTTCAAGTGACACTAAATACCTATCTTAAAGCTACTGAAAGAAAAGCCAGTAGTGTCCTTGACTATGTCAATGCAGGGACTTAACTCCTAAGTAGACATCTTCATGCACCCTTATTGCTTCATATACTGTCACTGTGGTCAAGATGACTCATGTCATGGCACGGAGAGCATAAATAAGATATATTCACCTAAAATTTCTTGGTGAGTCTAGCTGAAGTAGTGGAACCTAAAGAAAATAAAAGCTCTTTTTTTTTTTTAACTTGTTACTTCTGGTTACTACCTAAGGACCAAAATCCTTAAAATTTCCAGAGTTAGTTTTCACTGAAATATAAATTAGAAGAACAAACTTTTACAGTAAAAGATACCTCAGAGTAGTTACCTAAGATAGAAAAGCAATGATCAAAATTTTTTTTGACAAAAACATCTCTGTCCTTCTCATTGTCCTTCTTGATTACAGGATTGGTTTCAGTCAACTCAGTGACTGTTACAGTTACCTGTCTGAGATAGCTGTCTCGTACCAACTCATCTCAGCACTCTGACAGCTTCAGCCTCCCAGATCTTTTCTGTGACCCTAAAGTCATCACATTCCTTAACCTGTAGACCACAAGCATGTC